ACCACCGGACACACTTCACACGAAGGACAATTCTGCGGTTTCCCACGTGCTCCCTTTGGACCTGCACACTCTAGTGGTAATCCCATAAAATATTCTCATACTGGCAGAGCAATTTATTCTTAATCACCTGTTCAAGGTCTAGTCTGCTTAAAGCCTACCCTGTGACACACACACGACAGGAACAGACTTTTCGTTTTCCTAGAGGAAGGAAGTCAAAAAAAAAAACACTCTCTACTTTTCCTAATTTTAGAATCTCAACGGCAGCAATGTTTTCATTTCAAGCTCCGTGTGGCCGTTCCTTTCGTACTGTTCTCTCACGTCCACATCATCCACATGCCTGGCCTAGGGACTCTCAAAGTAGGACAAGGAAAGAGTATCCGTAATCCAACACTCAGGTGTGGGGAAAAAAAAAAAAAAACAATAAAATAAAATGAAATTCATGGTATAGCAAGAAGGGAAGTCTTTGGGTCACAAAGACATGAGCTCCCAGCCTGATCTACCCCTGACAAGCCCTGGGCTTTGGCCAAGTTGCTTAATCTCTCAGAGCCTCACATCCTGGTTCAAAGTAAGCACTCAGAGAATGAGTTGTCACCATGTCATCACCACAGTGTGTCGGAGACAGCAGCCTGGGCAGCACAAACAACACAGCTTATCAGCAGCAGACCTCGGTCAATAAAGCTGTTGTACCTGCTCAACTCTCTGGCCCTGGGCAACCCCCCAAACCTCTCCTGAGGCTTCATGTCTCCGTCTGTCCAATGGGGACAATAACATCTGCATCTGAGACCAGAGACGATACACAAGAGGTGGCGAGCCTTGTGCCAGGTGCCTACCAAGCACGCCCTAAGGTACAGCTGCTTCCACTGACTACACCACCAGGGGAACTGTAGAATCAATGCAACAATATTTTTTTTCTTAGCACCTGCCAATACTTATTGGGCAATTATTTAAACAATTATCACAGATCTATCCACTATAAATACTGGAGCATCAAAGGCTGAGGTCATCTCTCGACATTTGGTACCTTGTAAGGAAGAAGCAATTGGTCCAGAAAGCCCCGGTGTTTGCAGTTAAGGAACAGGGACAGTCACCTCTATGTTGGCAGAAACTGGATAAGCTTCTCCCGGGTATCAGAGACCCCCGCACCTAACCTGCAATAGTAGCTACAACCCTAAAAATTTAATGACTGAGCAAAGTATGTAAAATGTCTAAACAGTCCTTGCGGGAGCAAAGTCGGTTACCAGCAGTCTCTGAAATACCAAAAAGCTGGGATATGATAAAATAAGGAGCAAATTTAAGGTGATTTTTCTAAGTATATACACTCTGGGAAAAATTGTTATTAAATAAATTGAGGCTAATAGGAAGATAAATAGTAAAACTTTCCTTTACTGCAAGAAATATTACTGGATAGTGTTTTTATGAATGTAGGAGTGACAGGCTTAACTTTTCATTTGCTCCTGCTCACTGCTCAGTTAAACAGAGTTGCTGGCTTCTGCAGTGGGAGGGGAAGTGACGTGCATGGGATCACTGACATTTACACCTGGGTATTCACACCAGCAACTGACACAGCTTGTGAAATCCAGTCCCACTTACTGAACTTAGCCCTTGTCACCGAAGGCACTGCCTTTCCCACCTCATAATACGCCATTCTTCTACCTGTCCCGCTAGGACACTTCTCTCCTAGGAAAGCCTCCAGTACCTCGTCATAAGGTAAAAAACCTTCAGCACAAGAATACAAAGCCCTTCACACACCCCTCCTAGCCGGCCTCTAGCAACGGTGAGTTACAGTCAATTCTCAAGTACATACGGGAGGATCTACGCACACGATCTTATGCATCTGTGCACATAACAACTCTGGTGTGAAAGGAAGGAGTTTGCCACCACCCTTTTCCCTTGGTGTCCTCTCCCCAAAGGAGGCAGGTCAGAGCCAGGAGGTCCCCAAGACCTTGCTCGTTCTCTGCAATGGGGAGACGGGAGTACAGGGCAGGAAATGCCCTCCTGGAAGCAGGGGCTCAGAGACCTGGCACGGGCCCCTCTGGATGCAGCTCAGACACCCCCACCCTCCTCAAACTGCTCTTTTGGCCCAGCCCCAGGTGCCCGTCAAGCTGGTACAGCACAAACCTTGAGTGCCTAACACCTGGGAAGGGCGCCCAGGCTGACATCTCACCTACCATTCTGCCAGGCCAGCACTGCTTCCATTTCTTTCCGACGCACCAAATGATAAAGCTGGCTGAGCTAGCACTTTTCCTGTTGGCACTTCAAAGACCACTGACCAAACAGCACATGCCTAGTCCCCAACCCAGTGTTGTTTAAGTGACCTGGAGTCTCAGGGACTCATTACCCAGCTAGTCTACCCAGCCTGCCCTGTGTAAAGGGGACCCACTATATCTCTGTAAACAAGTCCCCCCATTCTTTTTATTTATTTATTTTTTTGAGACAGAGTCTGGCTCTGTTGCCCTGGCTAGAGGGCCGTGGCGTCAGTCTAGCTCACAGCAACCTCGAACTCCTGGGCTCAAGCGATCCTCCTGCCTCAGCCTTCCGAGTAGCTGGGACTAACAGGCATGCGCCATCATGCCCAGCTATTTTTTTTCTATATATATATTTTTAGTTGTCCAGATCATTTCTTTCTATTTATTTTTAGTAGAGACGGGGTCTCGCTCTTGCTCAGGCTGGTCTCGAACTCCTGACCTTGAGCAATCCACCCGCCTTGGCCTCCCAGAGTGCTAGGATTACAGGCGTGAGCCACCGCGCTCGGCCCCCCCATTCTTTAAAACTTGTTCCAAACATACCATCCTCTGGCTTTTCCCAACTCCTCCCCAAAGGGTCAGTTCTCCCTGCCTTGGGTACCAGGGACTGGCTGTAACAACCTCTACTCCAGTGGTTGTCACAGACCCAAGCTGCCAAGGTCCAGCCCCATTCCACAAGAGTATGAGAAAGGGTGTCTGGAACTATATTTTATCTGTTTTTTTAATTGCTAAAACAGTCACTATCACCCTATATAACAGGCTATTATGTATGCTCATAATAAATACTTATTACATGAATTGCTGTATCTCATGACTTTCCAAATGAACATTTTTCTAAACACAAAAGTAAACTAAAGTATACTAGGGTTTTGTGTGGATCTCTTTATGAAATAAAAGTAATCCTTTAGAATTAAATGGGTACAGATATGTTTGTGAGCATGTTTGCACGTGGTTCTTCATACACCATCTTGTCTGCGTAATACACTCTTGCTAGGTGCTTGTGCAGAATATGCTGCCACGTGTGAGCATGTACACTTCTCGCCTCATCACCTTCTGAACGAGGACCAACAATAACTTCAGGGCTGTTAAAGTCACTGATGATCAAGAACTTTCTGAAGAAGTAGTGTCAGATTCTGATACTAATGAATTATTAATAAATTCTGATGCTCGGATCTGAGGATCTGTAATTTCTAGCTTATATTCCATTCCCTTGAAATCTGACAAATGGATTGAAATGTGACTGCATTTCCAAATGACTCAGTCTTAAAAGGTTTCATTTCAATGACTATTTTTTTTAAAATCTGAGTTACCCTGGGTTTGAGAAGAGTGTTCTTATGTAACAAAAATCTCCTAGGATAGGAATGGAAATACCCCAATGGTGTTTGTCTTGCATGGGTCTGGAAGACAGAAGTGGGAGTGCCCTATGAATGCAGGAGGGGATCTAGAGCTAACAGGGCCAAAAACACCCTGGGGCGGGCGTGGCCAGGATGCACAGTGTAGCGGGAGGGAGAAAGGAGGAGGGCGTGGAACCAGGCTGCAAAATGTTGGTTCCGAGCTCTCCATTCCAAACCAGGACCTAGCTCTGGAACTCAGAATGAACAATTCCCTAAATAGCGGGAACCATGTGTCACTTTCTCCAAAAGAATCGTAAGGGATAACAAGGCAAAAACACCAAGACACTTAATCCTATCCTTATGAAATACTACATATTTATTTGATACTGTTCTGAATATCATACATCTGAAAGAGGCATAATTGAAATTAAAAATGTTCCAAAAGATTTTTTTTTAAAAAAAAGTGATCAAAGAGAAAGAACATATTCACAAAGTTTTTTTGTAGTAGTAGTAGATCAAGTAAAAGGAAACTCTAATTTATATTAAAGTAGTAAATTTATAGAAACCATTATACCAAGAGATTTCACAGTCCAACATTATAGATTTAAGAATACTTTAAAACAGTTTGTAAATAACAGAAGTAAATTCTGGTTTTTAAGGAGAGCTCGTGTACTGGGTGTTATCCTTGCAGCTCCTTCTGAGACAAAGCTCTGGAGGTGAAATTATACCTTCTCTTAAAGCACTTCCTACTGCCCAGCCAGGACAGAACGCCACATTAACTGGATCACCAAACAGTAACTCATAGTTTAAATCAAATGGCCCAAACTATTTGTTAAGGCTAAGAAATATTTTTGTTACCCAGCGATGTGTTTTTGTCCAGTGTCTGTTGTTACAGGACCTGAGTCCCAGACTCCACGTGCTGCATTACACTTACGGTTTTACAGCAACACACAAGCAGGTGAAACCTTTCTGAGAATTCTTTATCTGTTTGCAACTCTTTTGACGGAGACTTATCTTCTTAGCATCAAAGCTGGAATCAAACCATTACTAGACTGAAAGCATCTCGAAAGCAGTTCTGATTTGTCTTTGCACGGCCTGTCCCAACACAGTGTGCAGGAGGCACCATGGCACACATTCGAGAACTGTGCGCCGAGCAGGATTTGCTGGGGCCACACCATCTTTAAAGGCTGGAGCCGCCTCCTGGCTACACACTCGAAACCAACGCATGCTAAGCAGGAACAGGGATGATTTAATTTTGAACCAGGTCCCTTGAAAGCTTAAATTTGATGTGGTTCAACAACTCAGGGCTACATTTATTGCCATTGCCATTTTACTATTTAAAAACCTACCGTCCAAAGGAGACATCGGCGGCAAACACAGCCAACTTCTCCCACCTAGTTTAAGCAGAAAACTGCAGACTCACCTTTGGCACACAGTTACGAGAGGTGACTGGAGAAACGCAGAACTCTTCAAAACGATGAATTTTTCAGCTGATTACAGCTCTTGAAGTTACAAAGCCACAGGAGTGCTCCAAATTCTCAAATCCAACTCAAATCTCAGCAGAGAATCATAATCTGGGACGTCACTTGTATAAAAGGAACACATGAAATCTAAAAAGACATAGAAAGAAGCACCTATCAGGTATGTTTGCTTAAGTAACCACTTTAAAAAATAACTGGTTATTTGTCTGAAACCAACGTTTTTATTAAAATAATACACCCTAGAAAAAAAAGTGCCCTGTGTCCAAAGACCTCTACCAACACACAAATGTCCTCACCTTTCCCACCTGCCATTCCCCGGGGTTTGGGGGGGGGGACGCACACTCTGTGAACAGCTGGTGGAGGGAAGTGGTGGGGCAGGGGGGGACAGCCGGAATAATCGAGGCCCTTAGTTCGCAAGTCCCTTTTAGGTCTCCTTCCACCAACAACCCCCACCTCTCAACACCTGCCCCAAACATAGGGGAGGCTGCCAGTGGGCAGGAGGCAAGTGTGGCAGCTTCATTAGGGAGCAGGGTTGCAGGGGGCTACTGTTTAGAGGCCCATTCCTCTCTTGGAGGTCTCCAGCACTGGCCGTTTACTGAGAGATGCCACCAACTGGACCCATCACCTTGGGCTAAAAACATCGTCCCTTACAACCCAGAAACTCTGAGACTAACACTCCAAAACCACAGGGAAGTTAAGAGGAGAAGAGCCAGGCAGAAGAGACCCACAGCTCTGCCTCCCAAGGAGAGCCTGCTGCTGCGTTTCATTCAGGACACTGGGAAATGTGTTCAGTCTCTGGCTCACCTTTCCGAGGGGACCCTAAAGCATTCGCTGGACTTCGAGCTCACTGACATTTTTAATCACATTTCAAACCCAGTGGGGATCTGTCTTGACAGTTCACTCAGAGAAGATCTATTAATTCATCCCTAGCATGATTATGATCCAAAATGTTAAATGCCCCATAGAAAAAAATTGAATTCTATTTTAGTCAAATAGAAAAAAATAATTCAAGTAGGGCTATCATAAAAATGCTATAAGGCAAGTTCATAAATTTTGATTTAAAATTAATTCCTCTTTATGCATTCTCTAGCATTATTTTAAAGGCTGCATGATTTTAAAATATATACGATTTAATGCAAGGAAAAGGTGATGACTGAACACAATGGGAATACCAGATCTGGGCGAGATGTTAAGTGTACACTAGGAAGATTCCTCTTCTCTCTGCTCTTGAAATGGAAATATTAGTGCTGGACTGAGGTTTCAACTGAGGGTTCTTGTTTCTCATGCTGACATTGCCAACCTCCTCCACGCCGCTTACAGAAGAAGGCCACAAAGACCACCGACACAGTGCAAAGTGCGGGGCAGCATGCCCCTGAACACCACATCTGTAGTTGTATTTTCAGGGGTATTCTAGACATAAGTTGTATTTTTAAAATTTTAAGTGGAAAGTGAATTTGCCTGGAGTCAGACTTCCCTGGGCCAATGCTAGGGAGGTGTTTGTACAGCTGTTTGGGTTGTCCTAATATGGGCCTCCTCAGTGTGCACGGTGCTCTCGCAAGTGCTATTATTTAATCCTTCCAATAACCTTCCAGGATAGCTATTAATACCCAAATTTACAGAGAAGTTAACTTTCTTAGGGACACTAAAGGTTTTCCTTAATAGACTTTAGAGTTAGAAACTAATTGGCCTTTAAAACTCCAAATCCAGTGGTCTTTGCACACCCCTAGTCTCTTCTGCGCACGAAAGACCCTCATCACGACAAAAGAGGACCAAACTTGGGAGGAGCTTACCTGCTAGCCCCAAGCAAAAGAGCAACAAACTGGATTTGGAACCTAAGTCCTTTGCTACTCGGAGTAGTGGGCAAGTCCAAACACAGTGCCTACAAAAGCAATCAGTAAAGGAAAAGCCAGACACAACGGAACAGGACTTGAACTAATGGAATAGCTCTAATGAAAGAGAAGCTGTTTAAAATCCATGTAAAGGTGCCAGTGGCCATCTGGGATTCACGTGTGAAAAATGAAGGTTTCGGTGTTTTCCTTGAGAAAAGCATTCCATTGGCAAACTGTCAATGAACTAAGCATGCACCTTAAACAAACACAGTGATCAAAACTTCTCTCTTTACGGGTTTAATTGAAGTCTGTCCACTACCTATGTTTAATGTGGCGCTGCTACCTTATTCAAAATCTGTTAAGAAAGAACATTTCGAATCAGGTCTTAAATACAATCTGTGATCTAAATCCATTGGGAAACAATATACTTTTGTGCAAAAAAACTGTATCAGCCTGTAAGATAAACACTCACAAGGTCACTTGGATGATAGAAGGCCCTCACCAAAGAATTCATCCAAGGATTTTCTATGCAGCCAGCTTTAGGCAGCTAGGAATATAAGGAAGGGGTGGATGCTTTTCTTTAAAAATACTCCACTATACCATGTGCGTCTCCTTTTAGAAATTAAAAAGGGCAGGGGTCGGAGGTGGACAGCAATTAACACAATGATACCACAGGTATCTCTTCACTTTAAATTGGATCATTAATAATACAAAATTTTACCACTGCAAAATCCAAGGGATTATCTGAATTCTCTGTAACCTTGAGATTTCCTTTTTTTTCCCCCCCAAACTAAAGCCACAACCAAGGCTTCCTGCGGTCTTTTCAAAGGCGTTTAGCTGCAGCGCCAGGCAAGTGTGGTGGGCACACCCAGGTGGCACTGCCTGTGGCAGGTGCAGGGCTGGGCATCGAGATGCCCCCATGCAAGTCGTCCTGGCCCATTCTACATTCCCAGTGCCTGCCGGTGTCAGGCATAGCATCTTCTGGGGATCCTGGACTGGTTCTTCCCTCCTTCCAAGTCTGGGAGGGAGGTCAAGTGCTGAGGCCCGTGACTAACTCGAGTTAGTCCAGCGGAGCCCTTCAGGATTAAGGAGAGGGCCGTGTGCCTTGTTCTGAAGACAGCTCAAGACCATGTGTCCTGTGGGCACAGCGTCACTGGCCACTGTTACTCTACCTGCGTTAGAGCTGGCCTATTTGTTCAGACAGCTGAAGTCACCGAAAGGCTGAAGTCAGCCTTCAGAAAGCTCAGGGGACCCCACCTGTCCTACTTTCTGATGGACAGAAATGGAGACAGGCAGGAGAAGAACATGCACTGGTAACAATGAGGCCTTCACCGTGGCTTCGCCTCTCCCTCAGCCTCATCGTCAGCCTCATCAATCTCCACGGCAACCCTGGGGGTTAAATTCCACCATTCAGCTCAGGAACTAAACCACCAGATGTCCCACAGCCAGAATCTGAAGGCACGCTTCTCTGACGCTAAGGCCAGAGTGCTTTCTCCCGGCAAAGAACACCAGGAAGGGGGTAGAACCTTGACACCTGGCAAATAACGTCGCTTCTGCCATCTGTCTGGGGTATCTGTGGGCTCCAACCTCCCAAATCAGGCAGAGGCTGTGTTAGGCTGCGTCAAGAAGCAAGCCCATGACACACACAACACCTTCATTTTCAAAGGCCCTGTTTCTCTGAGATGTCAGTGCGGCAAAAAAAGACAAAAAGACTTGTTGACGTTATCTGGATTAGTAATGGGCACAACCTAGACTCAGGTGTGCATCATAACCAAATCTTTTCTATGTGACACACACCAGGGAACTGCCCCAGACCCCTGGTCTACAGACAGAGTTAAAGGCAATCGTCTTTTTCTTTTATTTACAAAGAAAAAAAGCATAGGATTATTATGGGCCTCAGAGCTCTCAAACGCCCCGTCTTGGCCTTCTCCTCACCCCCCAGCCAGGCAGGCAGAGCAGCGGCCCGCGAGCGGGTCTCCAGTTCAGAATGAACACGGAGGTGTCAGTGCCTGCTCAGAACAGCACGGGGTCAGGGCTGTCTGGGGGACCGCTGGCAGGACTAGCTGTGTTTCATTCCTACTGAACTACTTGGAAGAAAACCTTATTCAAGTGGGAAAACACTGGCTTCAGACACTGAACAAAGCTCCACAAGTCTCCTTGAGTGGTTTGGCTGAAGTTCAACCCGTGTGGACTGACGCTGAGCAGCTTAGATGTGTTTATCAGTCCGAAACTCAAAGGCTTCCAAGGAGATGACCTCAGCTGTCTCTTATCATCCCGGGCACGGTGGTTCCCAGGCTGGGCTCAGAGAGGACCGAAGTCCAGAGGCTAGTTTCAACGCTTCAAAAAGCTTCACTGAATTTAGGATTTTTTACTCAAGATAAAGCTGTCCTGAAAGGGAAAAATATCAAGTTTCTCTGAACTAGGCTGGAATGATACCAATTCCAAATAGTAATGTTAGTTACCAGGTTGATTAGAAGTTTATTAATAAAAATGGGAGGGAAAAAAACTACCAATTTCTAACTCTCTAAACAGCCATAGAGTGGCTGAGGTGGGTGTTTTGGGGAGGAAGGTAACTGGTCAGATTTTAAGCTCTGTCAGTTCTACATTCTGGAATGATAATTTCTGCCTTCAAATATCCCAGGACTGAGAAAAGAAATAAACTGCAAGCAGTGGACCAACCCAAAATACAGACCAGAAAAGGTGTCAACAAGGGTGACAGGGCTGCAGGCTTGACTCAGCCACCACCCTGGGTACTTGACCCCAATCCTGTATCTTTGGGGCACGTGGGAACAGCCCTTAGAATTATCAAAAATTGATGATATGGTGCCAATAACTCATCCAAGCTTATCTAAAATAGCACAAGAAAGTCATAATACAAAGCTTAATATGAATTTAAATTTTATAGTCTGCTGCTTAAAAATCCTAACATACAGAAATTGATTAGTAACACGCTTTCCAAAGGTTTGTAAAGATTTTTGTTTACATATTTAATGCTAGCCTCTTAAACGCAACAGTACTCCACCCTCCAAAGGTCTGTTAGGTGTTTCTCCAAGATCTGTCCACTGGTCCAAACCACTAGGAGTTTCCGTCATCAGCATAAAAGCCTTGCTATACATCTCAGCGCCACAGCCAGACGGTCTGATTACATACAGCATCTTTAACAGGCTCACCCGCATTCTTTATTCTGCATCCACAGGATTGATTCATTGTCTAGGTAGTGACAACACTAATCAGAAATATGCTGAGAAAAATAAACTTTAAACACTAAAATGCACTACTGAATAAGAGCTGTGCACACAT